GCACCCCTGTAATCCCAGCACTTGGGAAGCAGAGGCAGGAGGACTGCCTCAAGTTTAAGGTCAATCTTACTATAAAACTGAGTTTAATGCCAGCCTCCTCTACATAGTGACAGCTTGCCTCAAAACAAACAAACCCTCAGTATAAAAACTGTCTCGCTAAAAAACTCTTTACAGTAGATAAATAAGAACTTCTCTTCTTGAAAATATTAGGCCAAAAAGAACTTCGGCATCTGGGCGGGAAATCATTTATAGGCCAGAAGAAATGATTCAGATTCTAATATACTTTTGTACCTATCACAGTTAAAATTTTAATATGAAAGCTACACTGAAAGTATCACAATAGTTCCTAACTCCAAATGTACTGTACTACAAAGCCAATAGTAATAAAAAATAGCAGACACACAGACCAATGGAACAGAGAACACCTAGAAACAATTATGTTTAGTCAACTGCTTCTCAACAAGCTTCTATAAACATAGAAGGACAGTGTCTTCAATAAATGCTTCTTTGAAAAAACAACATTCACAACCAAAAGACTAAAATTTGAAGTCTGTCTCTCAACCTATACAAAAGTCGACTCAAAAATGGATCAAAACATGAATGCAAGAACTAACACTATGAAACTACTAGAAGAAAATATAGAGGAAGTAGTCAATGTTTTCTTTGGGGGTAAGACCCCTTCAATTCAAGAACTAAAAGCAACAGATAGAAAAATGGGATATATCAAACTAAGAAACTTCTACACAGGGAGGCAACCACACAATGAATGCAGAGACAATGTACAGAACAATAAATAATTTTTGCAAACTTTACCTGACAAGAATAAATATATAGAATGTGAGGAACTTTACAAATCTGACAAACAAGGTATAAGGGTCAAGCCATGTTGGTATGCTGAGCTGTAAAGGCCTCAGGTCAACAACTTCTGACATTGCCAGTCCTGCAGATGACCCACTACTATTATGGACTACTGGACTAGAAGTATCAAGATCCACACTGCATAAAGATTATACTTTGCATAATCTATAATATAAATGATAGTACAGCACTGAATCTTTTTGGGTATTTAACAGTGGCTATTATATAGCACACTGTTGTCTTTAATGTAGTTGCTCAGATTATAGACACAAGCATGTAATGGCTTACATACTGGGTGTGAAACAACTAATTGTTGGAGTTAACAAAATGGATTCCATGGAGCCACCCTACAGCCAGAAGAGATATGAGGAAACTGTTAAGGAAGTCAGCACCTACAATAAGAAAATCAACTACAACCCTGACACCGTAGCTTTTGTGCCAACTTCTGGTTGGAATGGTGACATTCTGGAGTCAAATGTTAATATGCCTTGGTTCAAAGGATGGAAGGTCACTCATAAGGATGGTAATGCCAGTGGAACCACACTGCTTGAAACTTTGGATTGCATCCTCCCACCCACTCGATCCACTAACAAGCCTTTGTGGCTGTCCCTCCAGGATGTCTACAAAATCAGTGGTATTGGCACTGCCCCGTGGACCAAGTGAGACTGGTGTTCTCAAAACTTGACAGCACATATACTAAAATTAGAATGATACAGAGAACATTAACATGGTCCCTGCACAAGGATGACATGCAAATTCCTGAAGCGTTCCATATTTTCTTAAGCTTAACAGCCTAGGTTGCATGGTAATAACAATAAGGTTCTCTTCTACAGGGTTAACAACCTAAGTTTGCAGACCAAAATTAGAGAAAAAGGAGGGCCACAAGGATAGCCAACATTTTGGCCCTAGCCTTCCAAGGTCAATTAAGACTCAGGACATATGAGAACTTGTACTGTAACATCATGTAACTCAGTAGTGTCCCAAATTTTCTGATCAAGCAGATTATGGGGCCAAAGAGGAAAGTGATCGATGATGCACAGTGTGCATAAGGAGAGTCACATGGAGGGAAAACATTCTCTCAGGCTTTCACAGAGAGCACATGGGCCAAACAATGGCCGTGACTCATTCAGATGGCTGACACTGACAAAGTTTTTACAATCTGAGGTACAGGATCTCAGGATAAATCCTGAGGGGATTTCTCTGACCTTATCAGATCCAAAAGCTACAACTCTTGTTGCACAGGTCTTGCTTTATCTTGGTCTTAGCCATCCAGCAGAAAAGTATAAAAA